GGGGGAAAGGGAGGGGGAGGGAAAGGGAGGGGGAGGGAGGGGAGACCGAAGGGGGAAGGAAGAGGGTGGGAGGGTATGAAGGGGAAGGGGAGGAAAGAGGGCGAGAGGGAGAGGGAAAGCGGGATGGGTTACGCCCGAAGACACTGAAGGGGAGTGGGAGAGGGGACGGGGGCAAGGCGATGAAATAGGACGACAGAGGGTATGAAGGAATGTAGGACCAGAAAGACACAACGGACACCCACCGGCCCTCAGATCCTCCAACCGTGCCGGGAACGGCTGCGTGGTCGACAAAGGGATCCGATAGCCCGAGGGCGGCGGGCGGGCGGTGTAGGAGGGGGGTGGGGAGGTCATAGTTGAACTGGTGTTATGTGAGGCTAGGTTGGTTGAGGGGAAGCCGGGGCCGGACTTGTGGTCGGAGGACGGGAAGCCGGGGGCTTGAGGGAAGGACGGCGTGTGAGAAGGAAATCCGAGCGCGTCGGCAGCGGGGAATTGAGGGATGTTGCCCGTGGATGGAAAAGCGGGCGGCGATTGGAAGCCTTGCTGGCTGTGGGCGTCCGACTGGAAACCACTCGAGGGGGGCGACTGGTGACCACTCGAGGGGTACCCGGGCGCGTTGGCGGGCGGGAAGTTGACGGGGTTCGCGTGGGCGGATGACTTGAACGGCGTACGCGATATGGTCGCGCACGGGTAGAGCAGTCAGATCAAAAGCGATCAGTAGGTGATGGGCACGATCAGGCAAGACGAGTCGTTGCAGAGTGTCGTGGACGGAAGGAAGGAAGGAAGGGGCGTGGTCGACAGAAGGCAGGAACGAGGTTGACGGAAGACGGAAACGTGTTCGCGGGCAGGCGCGGAGGCGGTGCGATGAGGAAAGCGATGGAAGAACGCAACGTCAGCACGCCGCATTCACCAAGAAGGCAATCGACTCACGCGCAGCTGGTTCGGGTGGGCAGGGGCCTGGTGGGCGCCATAGCTGGCGGGGCCGCCGTAGGTAGCCGTGGCACCGTACGCGCTCTTGTCGGTGTGTCCATCGTAGCCTCCATGGGCACCAGCGAGAGCGCTGTGAGCGCCATACCCGGGCGCGCCATGCTTATCCTTCTTCTCCTTGTCGTGCTTGTCCTTCTTGTCCTTCTTATCCTTGTGCGACTTGTCCTTGTGCTTGTGCTCCTTCTTGTACCCATAGCCCTTCCCACTGCCGTCCGAGTCTGAAGAGGAATCGGAGGAAGAGTCGAGGGACTTGCGGCGCGGGCGGGGGGACATGGTGGTCGATGATTTGAGGTAGGTAGGAGATAGGTGTTGGCAAGAGGGTAAGAGTTGGTGAGAGATGCGCAAGTAGCGGAGGCAAGGGTGTAGAGGAGGCGATGCGTGAGGGGTTTGCGCCGCCACCGCTTCGGATGACCGGTGCGGGGGCCGAGGGCGCCGTCAAGCACCCATATTTTATACCGGATTAGGGCCAGCCCCCACGTGGTCCGTCTCCGGTCGCCGCCCGCCTTCGCGCCCGATTGCTTTCACCGTTCACTGTCTTCGAGGCCGCGATGTTGTCGTTCAACTGGTGGGCGACGCGTTTCCCGTCCGTAAGGGCCATGGTGAGTGAGGCTGTTTGTCTGTGTGCGCGGCTGCCGGCAGAAGACAGGCTTCGTCCCGATCCGCGACCTTGCTGCCCTGCCGTCCTGTCGTCCGGTCAGACCACAAACCCACATTCCCTGTCCCTCCCATCGCAACCGTGTATCGGTCACACGGGACCTCTGCACCCGTCCGTCCCGCAGCTCTGCACAATGCGACCTGCTCCCGCCTTCCATGCACCGTCCGATCCGGTCCAGCTATCCTACCCTCTCTGCTTTCCGTACCTTCCCTCTCTCCTAGCTTCTCTCCCTTCTACCTCCACGCTACTCCGCTCTTCCCCTTTTCCAATACCTCCACTCCGTTATCCCCTCACCCACCACTGACCACCCTCCCAGCAATACTACGCCCACGAAAAGCCCGCCCTCTTCTACGCCCTCCTCATCGGCGGCGCAGGCCCGCTCCTAATCGCCACCGTGCCCCCGCTGCGCAAGGCGTACGGCTACGTCCCGCCGGAGATGCCGCCGACGAGTTATCCGTGTGCGTGGGCGACCCTCTCTCTGTTTGCAGCGCATACATATGCCCCTTCGTTGGTTTCATGCCATATCGCCTCCGACTTCCTCTCTATTCCACGCCTCCGACCTCCTCCTTACTCTTAGCTTCCCACTCACCCCTCTCCCGCGCCTTACCCTTACAGCTCGCTGTCCCTCCTACTCGCGCAGCTCGCTGACCTCCCACAGTGCCCCAGCGCCCGCGCCACGCGGTGCCGACCACGTACGACGACGCCGAGTAGTTGTGTGCGCGCTAGTAGACGTCAATTCCATCCCTTGCTGTGCAATCCATTCCAACTTCTCTTTCCGTCCTATTGACGTCGCTTCAAGAGCGCATACGTATGGTCCACGAGCGCATACATCTGGTCCGAGTACCATAACCGGGCAGGCATAACGCGACCCTTTGTTTTGTCTGCCAGCCCCTCCTCCCTCCCTTCCCTCCCTCCCCCTTCCCTTGCCCTTTCCCTCCCCCTTCCCTTGCCCTTTCCCTCCCCCTTCCCTTGCCCTTTCCCTCCCCCTTCCCTCCCTTCCCTCCCTTCC